CACCTGCGTTAATGTGAGGGCTGTTTGCATTAATAATCTCCACTCTCTCAATACATTGAAGCAGCTGGAATGCATTCTCATGTTGCAATAGACAGTGCATGGTCTTCAGCAATTCCCTTATTATCTTTCATAATTAGCAAATCAAATTTTTGTCTTTAATCCTTTCGCATCCAGGGATATTTCATGCTCAGAAGGCTGGGAAGTATGTGCTAGCAGATTGCCTTGTCAGTTGGAATTCCCCAGGGCACTGGGGGAAATGCTGAGGAACAGGGCCTTCTGGCTCTCGTTTTGGTCTGCCACTAGTTTTGCTGATTGTCTGAGTATTTGGAGCTGCGGCATTACAGCATCCTTTCCCAAGAAGTGCAGCCTGGTGGAGAGAGAACACGTGCTAGTGTGTTCACATCTGGCATTAACATATAAAATTTGAGGCATATAAAGTTTCTTCCCGTACAACTAAATTAAAAACCTGTGGCATAAGGTAAACTGACAAGTGCAAAACTTCTTGGGTGGGAAATTTTAAATGGTTACAAATGTCTCCTGAAAGCTGCTTCTGGAAGAATGTTACTGAGCAGGGCTGTCTCCAGGCTCACTGCCTAACAGTGTCAGGGAGAGCTGTCCTGTTGCCATGACTGGTATCATTTTTTTGGAGGAAATGTCCTGTTCTGGTCATGAAAACAACACTGCTGCACAGAGCGTGGAGCAGGGTCCAGGCTGCAGGGCTGAGTTATGCCATGTAAAATAAGCGCATCTCAGTTCTTGCTGGAGGAAAGGACTGGACAGCCGCAGGGAAGCCGGGTAAAGTGGTTCATGCTGATAGCTGTTGACTTGCAGACACGTTATCTTTATGTTGGGCAACATGTTTCTAATTTGAATTTGTAGCTCATGGGATGTCTCAGCTGGGGTAATGCACTAGACTCCTCCCTGGAGACCTTGTTTCTGACTTAATTTGATGTACTTATTCATATTTCTACTGGAACAGGTCCTGGTCTAAATAACATAGGCTCTTTCTACATGACTCTGAGGCAGGTCCACAGTAATGTGGTCATCTGTGCTCTTATGGCTTTGGTCATACGGACGGTGGAGAAGTGTGGAAAAAAAGTACTGAGGAACTTGACTTGCAAGGTGCCACGTGCTAACAGCATCCCTTCAGAGCAGTAGGGGCCAGAGGGCACAGCACTTCTGCAACAGCACGTCTCCTGTGAGGTGTAAACACCTCTCTTGCCCCAGATCCTGTGCGGGACACCAACCCTGGTTGCTAATGCAGAAGAGCAAAAGTGTATGCAGGATGTTGTGAACTACAGATAAACTTGAAGTCAAATAGAACTGCTGGAGCAGAACGAGACCATCTTGGTCTCTCCAAGCACTGATACTGCCCTGCTTGGGTTGGGGAAAGTTTGACCAGTCTGTGTCCAGGCTTGAGTTCCTATTTAGTCTGAAATTTGGTCGCAACCCATCCTGTGTACAAAGAGAAATGCAACTTCTGCTATAGTGACTATACTTGTTCCTTCTTGACGCTGGCCTCTATTGGCCCTTGTCCATGCTGTGTTACTATGCAAGTGTTACATCTCTATTAATATCTTTGCTGTTTGCATTAGCAACCCTGCCGTTTATACTACTTATGTTGCAAATACAGTCCCACATGAAGGCGCTTAGAAAGATATGTTATGGCTGTAGAGACCCAAGTGATCTATAGCTTTTAGATTACTGTGTCACTAAACAGCAGGTTGAGACATGGAAAGGCACTGTTACTTTAGGGATGAGAGATTTTTAGAAAATAAATCAATGGTGAATACAGGCTGATTGTTTTCTAGTTCAGATAATTCCAAGAAACATGAAGCGCAGGGGAAACCAAACCATTCACACTTGGAAATAACATGTGCTTGCTTTCATTTATGCGTTTGGGTCAATACTCCTGGAAATGAGGAGGGAGCCATTGGGCAGGATATTAGACTGGAAGTGGGGAACCTCAGTTCTGCTTTGAGTGCTCCCAGACACCTTTTCTCCATAGCTTCCCCAGGTTCCTTTTGGTGCTGACAGCCTTTGCTCTGGCTCTGCACACACAAAACCTTCAGCACACAGGGACTGGCTGGTGTGATTTCCAGAGTTGGAGCCCTTTTGGGGCTCACGGAAATGTAAGCAGTAACAAACATTCAGGAGGGTGCTTTTGCTTTCAGAATGCCTTCCTTTTTAATGCTCATGCGATTAGTAGCTGTCAGGTGCAGTAGTGTGCTGGATGGCTTGTAGACAGCTGTGATGTGAAGCTGCTGGGGAAGCGGACGCTGCCACCTCTCCAGGAGGCTGCTGTGACATCTTGCACGTTTACAAGGCGTGGGCTGGCCATGCCGGTGTGCAAGAGGTCCTGGAGCCAAATCGCTGCCTGCGGTACTCCTGCTCCTCACTGCTGCCTGGCCCTGTCCTGGCACACATCCCTGGAGACATGGGGCGAGGCTGTCAGCGACCGGTGACTGGAGGAGCACGCCTGTCCCTTGGGAGTGGGGACTATGCAAAGGGAGGTTTCTGGAGGTCTTCCAGGGATTTTGCAGTCTTCACTCACAGGGGCCGTTCCTGTGTGAGCTTGAGGCACCTTCGGTTACTTTTTGTTCTAGCTCAGGGCCTGCTTCCTACTCTGCACTGAATCCTCCTGAAAGCCCTCTTGTGAGTGTGCTTCAGGGACAATTTGGTGACAATGCACTCTTACCTGCTACCTCTGGGACACTGTGGGCAGTGAATGAAGGTCCCTGGCATTTTACTAGAGTGTCGGCTTTATAACTACAGGTCTACTAGCACTGCTTTTATCTTGGGATGGACTGCCAAGCTGGGAAGCCCTGGAAAGCTGCTACTGGAGATGTACAAGTTGTGCAGGACATTTCCTCGAACTGTAGCAGAACTCAGCAGCTGAGGGCTGACTTCTGTTCACGCAGTGGTGGCTGAGGAAGGCCAGCAACATGCTACCTTAAGGGGGCCTGCTGGAAGAACTTACTTGAAGGAAGAAGTGAGAGTTACTTGGATATCATCTTCTCATGTGGTTTTGCTCCTCCTTATTTAAACTGGAGAAGGAAGCTGGCTGCTTTAATCTGACTTCTGTGTCTCCACTCAGGAAAGGTGGTTTCATGATGGTGACGGGGGGAAAAACAGTTCTTTGGTGTAAGGTTTGGGAGACCTAGAGTTAAGTCCCTTTACTGGCTTGGATCTGCATGACACACACCTACATTACCTGGCCTGGCTGTACTCTGTGTGCAAAGTGGAGAAAATAGTATTCGCTTGTCTCAAAAGAATGAAGGGTAATTATTTTGAGGCGCTGAGATAAGGGAAGCTGTATAAGCATCCAAGACAAATAGATCCGCTCCCACTGAATTCAGTGGCAGAACTTTTAATGGGAGCAAGATCCAGGCCCCATCTGATAAAGAATTTCATCTGGATTGCATATGGGGGCAGGCATTAAAGGACCCATCTAAGGATCTCCCCTCTGGAGTACATCTATAAAAGACCCTCTGTAGTTGTGTTCAAAGCTCACAGTAATGCCAGTCTCCTCAGGACAATTCACTTAGATCATTCAGAAACTCTTTCTTGTCTAAGCCCTGATGCTCTCCCTCAGTGGAAGAATGTGGTTGAAACTCCCATGCAGGGAAGACTGGAGATTTGTTTTTTATTTGAACCCAAAACATTAACAAATTGGACACACGTGCTTTGAGACTAGAGCCCGCTCTTATTTAAGCCGATGCGAAACTCTCCTTGATCCCAGCAGGATCAAACTCTTGAATATTGCTTGTACCTTTTTAGAATATCTGCCTCTAAATGAAACAGACAGTGACAAACTCATTCTGGATTTGTCCTCCTTGACTGATTTGCAGAGAGGTTTGCAGACCCTCCCTCTTGGGACAGGGGAGTTCATAGTCTAATTGCTGAATGAATGACCAAGGGCAGGTATCACCGTGCCTTCTCTTGCTGCCCACTGTTTAGCATGTGAAAATCAATGCCGTGACTTAGCATTTTTAGTATTTAAACATCTTTAATGCTCTTGTGAGACTGTTGCTTCAGCCAGCGTAGTGCTTCTGCTCACGTATGAGTGATTTTCTTCTTCACGCTGAAGTACTGACAGGTGAGTATTATATGTGTAGGAAGCTATTCAGCAGAAACATATGCCTTGAATATGTTAAAATTCCTTGTAAGTCACTTGATCAATATGCAGTATTTGTGTCCCCTCTGTAACTTTGCCCTAAATTCATATTCATCAACAGAGGTTGCTCGGTACTTAATGGGACACTCAGGCACTGAGTGAAGGGAAGGGACAATACGCAAACAGGGTGAAGAATGAGGACAAATGTAGATGAACTTCCTCAAACAGGCACAAAATGCTCATTCCTGAATAAAAAATGTGAAAAGGTCAAGTGCCCCCAGAGGTTTCTATTGTGACAGGCACTTAACCCCTTCACTCCCGGTTATCTGCTTCAGCTGCTGGGCCACTCGGTGCACAAGTGCCATTAGCATCAGTGGAATGTGGGGCTGGGAGCGGGCGCAGGATACGGCTGGGCGAGACTCCCCTCCCTGCCAGGCAGCTGGCACTGGGTTAGCAGGAAATAATCCTTGTGGACACTGACCCTGTCAGTAGCTGTGTCTAGAGATAATTATTTCCTAACGTGTAACCTTTTCATGGTCAATTGCTCCAGTATATTAGACAGAAATGTGATTTCCTTCTATCTTCAGACACACACAAGTTCTTGTCCTTCCCGCTTTACAGGCGTAACTTACCAAGTGCGTAGACAACCCAGTGCTTTCTGACAAATATTGTTTATATTTTGCTTAAGTGAAAGTGAGGTTTGCTGGTCTCCCTTGCTGCTGAGCAGAAGGGATGCGGGGTATATGCCCACTCCCATGTTTTTTGGCAGACAGGCATTTCCCTTTAAGAATTTAATACTAATCAGGCGACTGTCAGTGTTTAGCAATCTTCTGCTCCGCCAGATTTCTTGCTTGTTGAGTGATTTTGGTTTACCTTTTCCTAGCTTGTGACGCTTCAGTGTTTGCCCCTTGACACATCACCAAGGCATCTGAAGAGGCAAGATCAGCAGAGTATGTCAGTACAGCCACTCAGAAGGCATCAGGTTTGATATCGTCAGGAACATCAAAATGAGCAGCCAGGGGTAAAGACGGATCTCTTGCATGACCCCATGAGCTCAGCCTGCTCCTGCCTCAAGTGCATCCCATAGAGGCAGCTTTGGTGGCTGGGCCTGGCTTGAAGAGCTTGAGGGAGGACACTGTTCCTTCTCCGTCACCCCAGATACTCCTCCTTGCTTCTCTGCGTTGCAGCCTGTTCAGCAGAGACTTGGGCACACCACTCAGAATCCTTGTGTTTGAGACAGCCGCTTTTGGGAACGACACAAGCAAACTTACTCATGGAACCCCTTGGAGAGAGCTTGTGGGGACTGCACTGAGCAAAACAATAACACAAACCTAGCGAGTGCTGCTGAGCGTGATTCATAGCCAATATTTTCACAACCTGATTTGTTTTGTAACAGTATCTAATTGGTTTTAAACAAAATGCAAAACTAGGTCAATTTGCCATTGGGCCTTGTAAGTCTCTTTAGCTAAATCTCCAGACTTCAGCTAGAAGTTAATTTGAGAGAGACTTAGGAAAAATATATATTAATATACCCGCAGTCTCACGTGAGAAACTTGTAGGCAACGATTTGGGATTCAGAGCTATACTCATATTCCTAAGACTAAATTCAAAGCCATCGTTTAAAAGCAGGCTTCCACACGCGTATGTCCTGATCTTTAATTAGGCAAAACTCCCACTGACATCAATAGGAGTTTGACTTGAATAAGAACTGCAGGATCAGGTCCATAATTTGGTACCTGGGATTTGATTAAGCAGCTAAATTACTAGAACAGTTTCCCCATGAGTATAATTGCCTAATTAATTTTTAAAATAGCTAAGTTCAGCACTGAATATGGTGTACCTCTTGCCACATGAAATGTATGCTGTTTAATCCAAGTTGATGGAGCTATTTGCAAGAGCCTGTAGAGTTTATTTTACAGTTAAGTAGTAGTGTTTATTTAAAGTTCAAAAATAGCCACCATTGTGTTAAAATATCATGTTTCAGAAAATATGCTCTTGCAATAGACTTCACTTGTAGTCTAGTTTGGCTATTAGCATTTCAAATGTATTTTAAAGAGTAGTGCTCTACTGCGTCCCAATTCCTGAGTTCTGGCTACTGTGATTCATTTTGCAGGTGGGAAAACACTCTGGAGCCTGGGGAAGAACTTATTCTCCAACAGGATTTTTAAATTCAATGCTTTGAAAAGTTTTTTGTCTTATCAATGATGTTATTTTTTTGTTTCTGATGTCCCAACATAATGCCTGTATTAGATTATATATATATATTAAAATAAGTGTATCTTGTTTGCTTTTTGCTGAAATTTCAGTCTAACGCTGTGGGCTGTAGTTAATATATTTGCTGTAGAAGGATTTGCTTTCACAACTGAAAGACTTTTTTGTTTGTTGGGTTTTGGTTTTGTTTTGTTTTGTTTTTTAAACAGAGATCTTGTTATGTAAAGGGAATAGAGAGATCATACATGGGTTTCCTAAGTGGAAAAAAATTGCAGAAGGAATTGCAGTGCCAAAAAGTAGAAGCTGTTCTCACTAAATGTATACATGTATGCCTCTGTGTGTTTATCCGTGTGTGTGTGTCTGTGTATATAGACATAAATAATTAGACTTGTAGTTGGCATAATGCATAATGCCTACTCATGCTGTTGACAGTTACTTAATAATGCACGTTCTCCCATTCTCTCCAGCCAAATTCTTAAGGCATTACCATGGGAATTTTCCCTTTCTGGGGCTTGTAACCGAGCTCTAGGACTAGCTGTTTTTGTGATGTGCTTCTTGACTGGCTGGAGTGGCCCTTATTCAGGAACTCCATCCAAGCATCTCCTGTAGAGAATGAAACCATCAGCTGTCCTCCGAGAAGTGCTCCACGCTGCAGCGTGACGGTGAGTCGTGAGTCTTTCAGGGTGATGGGATCTTGGATTTTAGCATGCTCAAAGCATGGCTAGGAGTTTAAATTCCAGCACATCACCATATGAAGTGGGATGCAGTCAAATGTACGCTTCAGAGAGGTAGGCTTTTGAAGCCTTTAGCAACCATTCTGCTCCTTTTCAAGGTTCTGAGAACACTTGATAGGTAAACAAGATGTGGCTCTGAAACTGCAGCCTGTCTGAAATTGGCTGAGGTCTGCAGTCTTGCTATCTTTCAAAATGATAGCTTTTTCTGTTCTGCCAGGGTCGGAGCCTTGCCCACAAAATAAGCAGTTCTGTACCCTTGAAAATTAGCAATTGGGTCCACCCAAAATGATGAGATGGTTTTAAAAATGGGAAGATTATCTTTTGTATTTAAATTGGAGTCCTTTTGAAGGCTGTCCTGCTGTCTTGGTTGCCAACTTTATTTTGCATTCAGCTCATGTTTTGAAGATTTTCTGTGAGGATTATAGCAAGGAATAGAAGGAATAGAAACTTTCAGCTTTTGTTTAAATATAAAATAGACAACTCTCTGTCTTGCGACCTCTTGATTTCTGCAGCTGTAATTCTCTGAAACATCATGATTTAGTATCATTAGCTATGACTGTTGTCTAGAAGTGATGACTACTGGTTTGGGATCCTCTGGGTTTTAAATAAAATTTAGAGATGTCTTGGATCCTTGTCCTCCCCCCCCCCCCCCCCCCCCCCCCCCCCCCCCCCCCCCCCCCCCCAGGCCCTTAACTAGTACTGAATCTCGGTATGATTGAGGAGACTTCTCAGTTATGAAAACGTAAAAGGTAAGAAGGGAGTGTTAGGTCTATTTATGATAATTTAGGCTGTAATTTGTCTCCCAAAGCGTCGCACCCCTTCTCTCTGTGGCACTCTGACCTCCTCTAGCGGTGGCTGGGCCACGGAGAGCCTCTCGCAGCAGGGGTGAGTGGCCCAGGCTGATGTGACTCTGGTTCTGGGATCTGATGCTCTGGAGTGGGATCTCTGCTGCCAGGGATCCGCTGGTGTGAGAGGTTTCCAATTCTCTCATATTCAGCTGAATTTTCATTTTCTGCCTTGATTTTTCCTTTGGACAATGCCAGAATCTCCTTGTCAGTGTATGTCACTCAGACGAGCCAGAGAGACATAATGGTTGAAGTCTGACAGCTCCTATTAGCCATGCTTATTTTTAGTCTGGGTTTCTAAAATATGGAACAGCAAAGAACAAATACCAAGAGGGTTTTTTTCTCTTTCTTCCCCTTCTCTCTTTTTCTATGCAAAGATGAGGAAAATAGCCAGATTTCAGTTTCTCCTTAAATTTACAGTTGCCTTTCTGTAACTGCGGATGCTTGAGAAATCAAGAGTAACACCACAAAAGGGAGATCTCTCTCTATCTCGTTCTCCTTATTGTCTTGGCTCACTTGACCCCGTTGGGGATGTGCCCTTTCATTGTGTGCTGCTGTTGGGCATGTGAGGGCAAACAAAGGGAAATGAGCTCTGTATAAGCCCGCGGCTTGATCAGGGACCAGCTGAATTAGCTGGACCAGCCCTTGACTCAGTGTGGCTGAGTAAAGATGCAGCTGTAATGTGCCAGGGTACTCTGCTGTTAGCCAGGAGCACTGCTTGCCTTCCGCCTGAGTGTTGCGTGGAGGGTGCAGTCGGCAGCGGGGATGCTTCCCTCTGAGTGACTGAGGCAGGGGCACAGCCTTGCTGGTCTTGAGGGGAGAGAAAAACTGAATGAAAACTTTTAAGAGCTACTGAATCGCATCCCGCTACAACAGGAGGGCAAGAGGTGGTTTCTCCTGTGGTCCCTTTCACTGGGTAGAAGGCAAAAAGGTGCAGTCCAGTGGTCCTCACCTCAGGCTCTGGTGTGCCATGTTATCATCCCATCATTTGACATTCAAGGAAGTGGAGATGGATTTAAGCAAAATGGTGCAGAGCAGAAACTGCAGGGCTGGATCTGGGGAGGGCTCTGCCTCCTGGTGCACTGGACTCTTACTTTCAACACGAATAATGAAGGACTAGCTCCAGGAGGGTGGTACATAACATCTTTCCCTCTTAAACCTCTAGTGCCCTTCCCATTGCTGCCCTGCAGTGGTTTGTTTGTCAAAGATCTTTCTAGCTGGCAGTGCTTTCTCCTGCCTTTTTGTAAAAACTCAGTGCTTTCCCTAGTCAGTGAAGGCATCATTTTAACAGCGTAAGTATCTCCTGAGGCTTAAGCAATGGTGTATTTTTTTCGTTGGGAGGGGTGGGGGTGGGCTGAACTTTTCTGGCTAAGCCTAGGTGAAGTGTTCAATGTATTACGTTTTAAAAAGTAAGGGTAGCTGCTGGATTTTGGTACTGTGTTTTCTTCTACCTCAGATGTCTTTTACACTGCAGAAATGCTGGAAATAGCACACATGCAACAGATTTCAGCTGTGGGGAAACCAGTTTAGTACGATGCATGAAAATTGGGGACTCATTCTGCTTTTGTTTCTTTAGCATTGCAACTCAGGAAAAGATTGAATACAAGAACAGAGGTGAGGTAGAGACCATGAAAGCCCCATGGTGCGTTTAAGGCTTGCCCTAAAAATGATCAGTTGTGATTTGGTGAGCATGGTGGAGGTACTTGGATAAAGTCCCATGCCACCACCACACCACCAGCTGAACTCATCCCAGCCAGCTCAGCAGACCCAGGTGGGGGAAGTTAGTTAGGTTGGGTTTATAATTTTTATAATGCACTGGTTTTGTGTGTGTGTGTGTGTTTTTTTTTTTTTTTTTGTCTTGGGTTTGTTTGTTGTCGTTTTTTTTTTTTTGTTTTGGTTTTTTTGGGGGGGGGGGGGGGGGGACACAGGCACACGGATTTTAAGAGCTTTAGTGGTCTTACAAAAGGTTAAAAAGTAAAAAAAAAACCCAACCAACCAAAACCAACAAAAATTAAACACACACACACACCAACAACCAAACAACCCCAAACCCAAAACAGAATGAAGGTTTGGAGCCAGAATACAGATAGATATATTTTTCAGAAAATGCATGGTGGGGTTTTGGGTATGTGAGATTTGATCATACTGTCAAATGACTTAATGTCTTAAAACTACACTTTCCCTAAGCTTTATTGTTTTAATGTTAATGATAGTTTTGGTAGCTTTTCGATAGAACTGATGCCTTTGAGTCCCTGCAGCCAGCATCAAGCAGGCCAAAATTGTCTGGGTTATCTGGTTCCTAAACTACCCCATCATTCTGTATGGATGCATAGGGATTTTGGCTTTGCTGCATCAGTCTCTTTGAGGAGAGCAAAAGGGAAGATTAATTCTCCTAGAAGAAGCTTCCTTTGCTTTGCATCTATATCAATTTCAGTGAATTCAGATCTCTTTCCTTTTCTTTTCTTGGGAGAGTGGAGAGTGTGTTTAAACTGATGATTTATGGAGCATGGTAGTGCTGGGAAGTTTTCTAAGCCCCAGGCAAAAACTAAATATCAGTATATTTCAGTCTGTTTGTCTGGAATATTTGATGAACTTCATTTTTATCTTAAAGCAGTTTAAGCCCTTGGAGAGAAATACAAATCTCATTCTTCTCCCTATGAAATAAACAGGAGCAAATATGTATTGTTGTCGCATTCTAGTACTTTTTTTGCCATCCTTTACCCCACTGTTAAATACTTTCCAGTGTGATTAATCCTCTGAGTGCAGAGAAATTTGTGTTTAATTCTACTGTGATCACCCTGTCTGATCACCCCTCCAAAACAGGCAGTGGGATTTTCCTGAAATGAATGAATTTGTTTGAACGAGGATGCTTTTCTAAACAATTTGCTTTGTCTTCATTGAGAAACTGTAGCGATGGATCTGCACTGCTGTCACCTGAGGTGAACGACTGACTTCCAGCCTAGTCAGACTGTTTAACTTCAGTTTCTGTTAGGCCTTTGCTAGACTGGGAAGCTCTGTTGCCACAGTTTGGTTCCCACGTAGGTGTGTATGAACCTACGCTTTAAGAAGCCAGTTAGGCAGAGGTGTCTCACAAAAATGCATCTCCACATCCTTTAATCAGCTGTGTGACTCTGCTCTCAGCTGCTCTGGATTTAAAGAGGCATTTTCTGTTACCACCCTTCTCCCTTGCTGTGCCCTGTGGTTTGCCTTTCAGTGTTTTTGGGGGTGGGACTCTCTGCATGTTTGTACACTGTTGAGGACCTGGGAGAGGGCCTCTGGGTACTGCCTTAATAAATATGTTAAATAATAAAGCCCAGAAGAGATGCTGCTTTAACAGTATCTGGGTGTACCAGTGAAGAAATCGAGAGCAGATCCTGTTAGTC